TCCCAATATGGACGATATAGATCCAGTAGATTTACCAAGCGTAAAATTCAATAAGAATGTAACAATTGTCTATAAATATAGATGATATGCAATGAATATTTCATTTAACATATTTGCAGATATAGCAGAACGATGCAAATGTGAATTAGAGTGTATTTAATGAGGAGCAGTAACAGTGCCACGATATATTGTGCTCAAAACGGAAGGAAGTCAAGTTACAAGGGTTCAAAGTAATACACTTGAACAACAGGTAGAATTGTTTAATGCTAAATGTACAGAATATGAAAATACATGCGTAAACTATGAAAAATTATTTACAAAATAGGTTTTATGGTCCTATCTCCACAACCGTAAGTGTAGAAATGTGCAAAATATATAAAAGGTTTGTGGAAATTTCAAGTTTCTAAATACTAAAAATGTGCATGGTGGTGGATGATGACCAAATGAATTGAATAGGATGCAGCTTTTATCGCCCACTACGGCCTGCAGCAGTACGTCACATTCATCACAAACATTAATCACCAAAAAAGACAAGTTACATTTATTTTTTGATACTTTAAGCATGGAGTCAATTGTTTCCACGGAAAACTTTCGTCGATTTTTTTACAAAAAATATCCACTTAAAGCCTACAAGTAGTATATAGAGCAGAATGTGTGAGGGATATACGTCAGTGTTTTGGAACTGTCATAATCAAGGTGAAAAGAAGTGGAAATATTCAGTGAAAGCTTATGTCTTCCGAGTTTCACAAAAGGTGAGAAGACGTACCATGAAATGGAGAAGGTTTTTTGTGGTTTAATGACAGAACCATTTTTCCCACTACACTCGGATTCGCAGTACTAGACGACCTTCATTTTTTCCATATGAGAGCAGAAAAAATGAAGGTCGTCTAGTACTGCGAATCCGAGTGTAGTGGGAAAAATGGTTCTGTCATTCAACCACAAAAAACCTTCTTGATTTAATGGTACGTCTTCTTATCTGAGAGCAGAAAAAATGAAAGCACTTGGTCACTACACTTGCTGATGGCGTGAAATCGAATTTGATGAAAGTCAATAATAAACAATATACAGTACAAAGTTTATCTGAAATCTAGGCAGATAGCAGAGTAGGTACATCCGATTTTCAACAGAACTCTGGCGATAAATAATTGCAATAAACCGAGATGTGTTGTCAAAGGTAGCGTAACTTCGCAAAGTAACTGTTAATTGAAATGTTTTCATTAGATTATTTTAATAGTTGTCATGTCTGTATTCAAATAATGTTTTTATAACATTCGCTTTTGGATTTCACAACAATATGCAGTTATATATGTTTACCCTAGTGTTCGCTCGGTTTACCAGTTAATTCATGTGAACCTGTACAAGGATTTTAAAATGGAATGCTTTATATTCAGTCATGGCAATATTCACCATCCATCACATTTATATATTTCTGATCTTCACCTTCATATTAGATTATTCCGTAATAACTTTTCACCGCATATATTTGCTGTAAAGTATGATCTTATTTGTCTGCGAGTATTGTTTAGTGTCGCATCCATCTACCTTCGAATAATTACATTGAAGCAACCGAAGTGTGGCTTGTGTGTAATAAGGTAACTAAACTGAAGCCTGGTAAAAGACTTATAGTTTCAAGTATCAAACGATACAAGTTTGCATGTGCCTGTCAAAGCAGTTGCACCATTAGAATAGGAAGAAGCACTAACATTCGAATCCAAGAGGATATCCTGAAAAGTTGATGGAGTTAAAGACGTTCAAGTATTTTGTTGCCAAACGCCTCTGCGACTCAAGACACTCAGTTGACTAACTGAAATTTTTCAGGATCACTAATCAGCATCCATGTTCCATCCTTTTCAAAATATCTGATCCCACAGCCATCGAAAACCCCAAGCTGAACTTATGTATTCAACAGTAAACAATCGAAAATCATTTATCTTACCTTTGTGATCCCTTGTTACTATGTATAATGGTCTGGAATGTCTTACATATTATACTTATTTGTAACACATTTTGTGTGTCTGTAGTAGTATTGGTTCCTAATCACACAATTCTTGAAGATGGACACATAATTATTTATTATCATTAATAATTATTATCATCTATTCATTTCTTCTCCTTTATCCTTAACCCTTTTAACCACACTCTGTTATTATTTTTATTCACGAATAGCTTGTGGATACATAAGCAACGTGAAGAAACCATTTCGCGTTTCTTCAGAAATGCGACAATACACAAGTTTCAGTAATGCCTTGGGTCACAGGCATTTTAAGAAAGATGGGTGGTGGCTACCAGTGGAATCCAGGACGCACGTTTCGTCCTATTTGGGCCCCGTCATCTGGATGTACTTGGATCCCAGAGTTGATGTTCTCTCCGGAGCTCCAACCATGTACAGTTCGCTTCAAACGCCATCGCGTTATTCACATAGCTTGAACATCAAAGCTGGGGTGCAGTTGAATCCAGCTGACGAGTCCCATGAGGAACCAAACTCCCGTCTTCGATTCCACTGCTACCCACCACCCATCTTTGCTTAAAATGCCTGTGACTTAAGGTAACATCGAGGCAATCCTCACGGCATTCACACATGCCAGTAAGAGACTGATCAATTGCAGTCCTAAACAACAATGGGAAGATATAAACAAAAAACACCAAATGATTATAGGTTTCATTAATGTTGGCATAATATTTGCCACGTTTGAAAAGATAGTTTCTGTGTGATTGATAAAGATATTGAGTTCAAAGAAGAACAGGGAGAAAATAAGGAAATAGAAATGAAGGGAACGCGAAATACGTAAATAGTTTAACAAGCGTGTTTGTGGATACAAAACAAGAATAAACGACAATGTATGTATCTCCTGAGTTTTAATTATGTGACTTCGGTTGAAGACTTGCTTTCGCTAATTAAATATTACGTTTCACGTTGCCGGACTATTGAAAATATGGTTGTGTTTGACTAAGTCCAATTACACAGCATGGTTCAGTATTTGACTGTTAACCGTTAACTATCTGCTTGGAAGGATTGCTAGAATTCCTGCAGTTAGGTATTTGATCTTATCTTGATGGGAATATTTTTAATGATTCTCAGCACGCTAATTTGTGTTGGAGAAACCCTTGATTGCATAGCACAAGCTGTACCATTTTAGAACCGTTTAAATTGGGCACAGAGTTTGTGTTTCGCTATAAGTTAATACGAATAACCTAAAAACGCTCTGTACGCAATGCAGAAGAGCGTGGTCAGGTTCTAATCGAATAAATTTTGGTTAGTTTGTTCTGCGTCCAACCGAATATTGGCATTTCGGTCGTTACAGTGAGGTTAATAAACCAATGCTACTACAAAATTGTTTACTTGCTAGTTCAGCCGATAAATGGAGATAAATAGTCAATTGTGGTTGTATATCAATCCGTCGAATGAAAACATGACCGTGTATTTAGAACATTTTCGGTGGCTTATACGTATGCATTGTTTTGAATGCAAGCTCATTTTTTCCCTTCACAGTGCAAGCAGATCTGGGAAGCTAGAACAATTCCTTTTGTGTCATTTTCAAAAGGATGAGTTCTAAAGAGGGAACAAGAAACCTGCAACTAATAATATTTGTTTAAGTTCTGACTTAAATGGTCTAGTAAAATAAAAAATACTAACAGATTTAACTTCTAAGTTCGAGGGTAAGTTTGTTGACTCTTGATGAAATGAAACTTATACTGCCCTTGAAAACCTATTAGCACCGGATGGCCATTTCATGCAGGTACAGCACTCCTCGGCGGTGTTCATCCATGATCCCACCCGCGAGACTTGAACTCAGGACCTTCGGTTTCGCGTAACAACGCTCAATCCCCAGATCATGAAGTCAGAATCCAACGGTTTTATTATCTATTTTGATCAATCCACAGCATTGCTCTGCCATCTTCCACTATCCCTGGCAGTAAATGCCTCACGCTCGGTATGTATTAGCTTCACCAGTCACAGCTCCACAACAGAACTACGGACATTTCTTATCGAGGCTCATTGCTTCCATAACGAAAGTCTTCATGCACCATTATGTAGTGGCTTAGACGCACGTTTCTCTGTTCAAGAGGCTGAGGCCTCAGATTTCAGTTAGTACAATGACAAATACTAATATTATTGACTGGTCAATTATGTCTAATAGTTTAAAAAGAGACATAATAAGATCATACCTCTCTATACGCAAAGACACTACGATACTAGCTATTTTGCCTAAAATATTGTGAAGTCTTGACTTCCAAGTTCAAATGGTTCAAATGGCTTCAGAAAGAATAGAAGAAGATTTCGCTGAGCAGTATTCCGTATCCAGTAGCAGTGGATCACCAGTTCCCACAGATGGAAACTTTGGTGTATTTACCGATTACAAAAACGAAAAATATTAGTAAATTACTGTGATATACTGTCTTCAGTTCTCATGAATATGTCAAGTTTCCTCTTCACAGACTCCTGAGCAGTCACTTGCACGAGCTCGACTTGCAGCGAATTAAAGTATCCTACTACTCTTAAGGAGTAGGTGTGTACAGTTCGTACTGCTGTGTTGCATGTCCAGTTTCTGAGTGTTACCCATGACTTTTGTGTTGAAGCTGATCCTCAGTAGGTATTTAAGCGGATTTCCAAAAGTGTTTGGGCTTCTGTGGGTCATTAGAATGTCACCTCTGAGAAACTAATGCTCAAATGGGTAAAAGTTCAGTGATTTGAGGTGCCCTTTTGATAGATCCTAACGAAAGTTTTGGAGAATTCAATGAATGTGACTTTGACCTTCCTTTTGTGATCAAGGATAGTTGTCTATCTTTCCATCGTGGTCAGCAGGTTGACAAACTGAATAAATATTTGTATGCAAAAGCTAAATTTCTGAAAGCACGATTATTTGATGAGATGAAAGTGTCACTCACAAATTGTAAAAGTAGTGTTTTGGAATTTGAACGGTCAGATGCTTTGACCTTAAAAAGCAACTTCTTAGTACCGCCAGATTTATGAACTGTCTAATGGTGGAGGGTTTACCATCATGAGCTCACAGTCTTCTCTGAATGATATATCGAATGCTATCAGACAAGAAATTATACGATTTGAAAGTGTTCACCCAAATATCTATGCTATATACGACCTTATTGATGCAGTTGAGGATAAAAATTTAGCAGAGTCATTGCGTCAGTTAGTTGTGTCAATTGAAGGTACAGTATCATTTGTCAATCTAACTTTTCTCCTCGTAGACGCATTCGTCAATAGTCAGGAGTGGACACTAAGTAATGCCGTTCCAGGCATAAAACTGGTAAGTATAATCCCTCTTATTGTATGGTATGTAAGGGGCTTCTTGGTTCTGTTCAAAGTGGGAAGTCTGCCTTGGTACATCGGTATCTCACAGGAGCGTATGTCCACGACGAGTCCCCGGAAGGTGGAAGATTTAAAAAGGAACTGTCCTTGGACAATCAAAGTCACTTGCTTTTAATTCGCGATGAAGGCGGCCCGCCTGATCTTCAGTTTAGTCAATGGGTCGATGGAGTTATATTTGTGTTTAGCCTAGAAAACATCGAAAGTTATCAAGTGGTCTATGACTACTATGCTCGTCTTTCAACTTACAGAAGTACCTCCAGTTTACCCATAATTCTTGTTGGGACTCAAGGTATCATTAACTCGTTGTTCTCACCTTCATAGATTCGAATTGTGAGCCATATGTGCGTGTAATAGATGATGCTCGTGCTCGAAAACTTGCCAATGATCTAAAGCGTTGTGCTTATTATGAGACGTGTGCTGCTTACGGCCTCAACGTTGAACGTGTTTTTCAAGATGGTAATTGAAATTCTTACTAATTTCTCCCACAGCATGTCTAAAAATACTTCAATTGCGTGCCTCTGGCAATTCACCTGTTCCAAGACCTATTACACCCCAAATTTCATCGAATTCACAACAGAGAGCATGTGCTAATAGCCCTGTTGAATGTGTGCCAATCGTTGGAATAAGTCAATCACAACAGTCTTTGTTTTCAAATGTAGTGAATGCTCGTGAAGGTCCTCTCATGAAAAACCCCGTAAGTATATCAAACTCCAGTATATTTTGGTTTTGTAAGGCTTTTGATTGACATTCGTTGTAACTATTTTATAACCACACTCGGCGCCCAAATTTTCGGGAACTATTCGTTCAAATTTAGAATGTCTTTACACATTCTTGCTATGTTAAGTTTATTAACTCACTCAATTAACGTTTACTGATATACAAGCGTTCATAGATTTCGGGGTGTTTTATAAACTACATTCAAGATGTGTAGCAACGAAGGATAGGAAAACGCTTGTTGTTTTTACCTGTGCTTTTCATGATAATAGGTGTATATGTATATTGATCGTTTGTCATTTAGATTAGTTCGTGTAATCTTTATTTCAGTAACAATTACATCAGAGTTGAGTCAGAGACAATCTTAAATTAAGACTATCTTTTGGTAATATAGGTCACTAATTTAGAAAAATGTTACTAGGATTTGTATTTACGAATAGATTTATGTCAAATGAAACAGGTCAAGCAACATTCACTTCAAAAGAAAACATCGGAAAGACATGTCTTGGTTATTTTGTCGATTTATTAATCACGATGTAAGCCTAGAGCTTCACTAAACCTTTTCGATATTATCAAGTAGCCTGCTAACCTAAAGTTTTCATATCAATCTGCATAGGATTTCTTTGGATCCAAGTCTTTATAGTTTAAACATCTTGTTTTCATAATAAAAAAATGATCACCGTTCCTCCGTTTGAGATATTAATGATTAATTGTGAATATAATGTATAATAAGCTAACGTTAGTTTCCCTTTATTGTTTCCTTACACATTTAAATGAGTCTTGCATAAAGTTAAAGATTTATTTATTTAAACACATATATATTGGTACGAAAGGGCACCAGATACATATGCGTCACACAAAATAATGAAAGTAGAAAGAGAAGGGATGAAAAGATAAGGCGGACTAAAATGTACAACCAGAAGACAGTTAAGAAAGTTGGAACCACTCTTTATGACGAAAGTAAAAGAAGGTTACAGTAGGTTCACTACTGGCTTCTATTCTGAGCCATATCTGATAACGTCTCTAGCCACTGTGTTGCATCATCTCTCGGACCCCAGCCAGGGAGTCGTGAAGGACCAACAGAAGATAAAGTTAAAGATGCTGGTATTATCTTGAAAGAAAAAAACCCATTTATCCTGCATGTTTTTTTCAGAACTGGTAGTCTCCGTTGTTACCTATGACCTCAGCAAATTTTGTAATAATTATCGGAAATAATGTAACTGATGCGTCCCATTAAATTTAGGATAACAACTCCTAGTTACGGCATACAGTTGGTTAATCATGAGTTATAATGTGTAATGAGTTAGGAGTAGGACTGACAATTCAATATTTTATAGTACTTTATAGTCTTAAACAGTAGTTAATCGCTGGCTTTCGTATTGTCAAGGTGACAGTTTTAAACACTTAGTAAGTTCTTTAATGTTGATATTCACTTCGGAGTGCAAGTGTTAAGGCGGTCAAATTGACTCATCACAATTTTGTAGTCGGATCAACAGAAGTAACTTATAGTCACAGTACAAAAATTTAAGCAATTTCCTTTCAAAATAAAATAGAGTAAACTATGGAAATAACGAGTAGAAATGTGGGAATTTGATTTGCAAGCCATACAACACAGGACTGTGTTTCTAGTTGGCAGCAGATATGAAAATAACTTTCGGACCTCCAAAGTAGCGTCGTTAAGCAAAACCAAATTAGGTGCAACTATATTCCTCACCAATTAGTTAACTGAATTTGACCTGAAACTGGCTTAGTAGTTGAGTTACTTAACTTTTAACCACTTTATTGTGGTCTTAGCTCCCAAAATGCCCTGGTACGGCCAAGAGTGGGGAGAGTACGCTCTCCCTCTCGAAATGCTCTCACATGGCCAGCGAATATATAGCCTCTATCAGGGAAGTCCTACTCACTGCCTTCTCGTGGCGGGGGTGTTGTTTACGAAAGTGAGAGGACGAAAAGCGAATGTCCGGCGCTTTAACCGGGTTGGTGGACACGGAAAGTCCACCTAGGGGAGTTGGAAAACCCTCATTCCAAACGAATGGTCCACATGGGCTCCAGTATCGTGAAGGGACAAATGGCGTATGAACCTGTTGTTGGTCACCGGCTACCATGGGACTGCATCTCCTCACGATGCTCCACTGTCTTGTGGATCAGATCCTCAGGTCATAGGCTCCGGGTGTCGTCCCCTAAAAAATCCACCTGCTTCAGTTTGGGCACCTAGGCAGTATCACAGCCCTCAAGCAAATCGAAAGAGGTTTGTGCGGCACATATCTATCTGGTGCTTCCTTGTACCAATATTTATGTGTTTAAATAATAATATTAATAATAAGGGCCTGTATGATACAACACCTAGTGTCGGTATCGACATCGTTAGGATTTATGACTGCGACTATAATTTCTGGCCGCTACTATTTCCAGGAGTTGGATGATGTCACCAGCGTCACGAAAATTTCGCCCAAAGACAAGTAAATAAATCTGTGCTTATGAAGTCACGCTAAGAAATTGTTTTAATATACTCATTAAAAGTTTTACTTTATCCCATCAGTTCATTTCTTGAGGCATTAGTGCGTCCATGATGAATGAGTCTTAAATTTGTGTTACTTTACAAATTATAGCTTGAAACTATTGTTGGTTGCTTTCGTTGGTTTTAAGTTCCTATTTTGTAGACCTCAGGGGCAAAAGTTAGCTTCGGATATAACTGTATAACAAGTATCAGTTAACACAAAGATAGCGTGTAAAGGTAAAATATCGTTTGTCGTCACTACAGAGAAATGTTTTCGTGTTTACTTATACAACATGACAGCTACCATTTGTGTTGATATCGTGAGCCCCTTGGAGTTGTGTTTTTATTAGTTATGTACTTCTATCATATCATGCGTTTCTTCAGTTTGGCGTAGTCAGTTCTTGCGTTTATCCGAAATCCAAGTGGTGCCATAAGATACATCTTATTGTGAGTAGTTTTGCTTCTTGATCTTTTAAATGAAAAATCTGATTACAATCGACTGACAACTGATGTTATGCTGATTTTTTTGTAAGTTCTTTTCCAGGTTGTGTTTTTAAGTTTGCGATCTTAAATAAAACAAAGTATACGAATGAATCGTAACGGAATTGGTATAAAACGTAACGTATTGAAGAACCGAGAATCGGTAAATCTATTTAAACTACTCGGAGTTTATTATTAAGTAAATAATGCTTTCACGGGATTCATATCGTTCGTAGTGGTAGGAATTCACAGTGCTTTCCATAGTATTGTTTCCTTTAGTTCTGGCCTTTGCTAAGTCGGTGTCAAGATGAAGGTAATAATTCAAGAAACTGCAGAAAGATTAGTAAAGTAATAAATGAGTTTTCCTGGATTAACGATTTTCAAATAAAAGTGAAATTTACTCACCAGTAGAATCTAGTATAAAGTTTGGAGCTTGGTTTTTTCCAGTTACCTATTTCCACCGTTTCGTGAACCCCAATATGTACTATATTGCCAAGTTCTTGCAGGGTCTATGACCTCTCTCCTTTACTTAGCAGAAGTAAAATAATCGTAACGGAAATACCCTTAAGAAATGCGATTTTTGAAAGTGCAAATCCAAATGCTGAGTTAGAAAATCTTGACTGACACCATTTTAAAACCGTATATGACTTGGTTTTGTTGTGGCTAACGTTAGCTTTTATTCTTCGGACCAACAGTTGTACTTTGTTCTACGATAATATATATCTTGACATTACCCAGATAATCGAATAGTAATAAAAATATAGTGTTTTAGTCAAGTTTAATGTTTCCATTTTATTCAGTAGCTCCTTCATTCATTAAATGCTACATGTAAATTACCACGCAACTCATTCATTAGTTTCATCATATTTAGGAAATTTTACTGCTTGATTTCGTTGTTGCGTTGTTTAGCATTTAATCGTTAGGTGAATCCATTAAATGTTATTTTGTCCTCATTTACATGCACTGTTGCTTATTTATGTCAGAGGTTAGGGATAATGATTTCATTGAACTTCTCATAATAATAAGAATTTAAGTATAATAATCCCTTAGGTAACATTGTATGAGGTTAGTCATACTGGCATAAGTGGTCATTCATCTACTTTGAATGTAGTATTGTAAAATTCTGTGCTTGTATTTCAGTCATTTTTTCGAGACATATCGCTCTTGTGTAGTGTTCTACTGGTATAATTACTTTTTTTGTGTTGTAAATTTACGGTTGGAAAGTGTGGAAACTTACACCATTGTTAATGATTGAGATAACAACAAATATTCCTTAAAAATCATCTGTTCACGTGCTATGTTTGTTTATTGGTTGATATTGTTGAAATATGTATATTAGCGATCGGTATTATATGTCAAAAAATGTTTAAGAAATGTCTGGGGTGTAGCAAAGTTACAAGTGTTGACTGTCATAAGTTTTCTTATAGTGGGCTGTATAAGTTTTAGAAATTCTACTAGGTTGTTAATTTTGTCACGATAATTTACAAAAAAGAGTTGAAATGTAGGTTGTCCGTTACGGTTGGCGGTTCTGTTTTGTTCTTAGGATGTTGACTTTTTTTACTAGTGCCTAAGTTTATATACAGAGCTTCTAGCGATAATTGTAAGTTTATTGTTATTACTAACTTTTTATGGACAGAGCTAAAATAATTGGAAAACTGTGGACATACTATTACAAAAGTATGTGAATATTTTATGCCTAGGAAAGTGAATTGTGTTCAACTTTCCTCTGCTTAATAGTTTTGTCATGTTTTTATTTTCATTAGTAGCGACTGAACCCTTTAGTCTGATCCTTCTCCTTAGACACTTAATTAATTGCATATCATTCACTAAAAACAATATAAGAACATCAATGCAAAGTGTACATTTTACCGAGGTCATCAGGTTTAGTTTCTTTGTTTTAATTCCAGGGGGTTAACTGTAATGTAACTAATTCAGTTACAAGTGGTATCGATAAGAAAGAACGCCCAGTGTTCCCCAATAATCCTTCGAATCGTCGTCCTGATACTCACAGCAATCCTGGATTTGAATTTGATTTCAATGAAGTAATAACTAAATTGTTTTTTATACCAGTCGAACTGTCGAGAAAGTTCTTGAAATGTAACATTTTGCAATTATTTTTTTGTACAACAGTCTTGCGGTATACCTATTTGTACACAAATAAATTATTAAAATGCCATGAATCTTACCGATCGATCGTATGTAAACTAGTGTAATATTAACACTCACGTACATTATAAATAGACGGTGATGTTCAAACTACTATCACACATTTGTAGTCTCTTCTTACCTGAACATTGAACACTTAATTGCTGATACACTTAATAATCAGTGTTCAGTAGCAGATAGTTCACAACCATAGCTGTAGACGTTAATGATGTTTTACAGTTCAGTAAAGTCTCTTTAATCGCAAAACTCGCAAACCCTTGGTGTAATTCAAATTTGTGTCGAACGTTCCATTAACATTTATTTCCCCCCTCAGAATCACCGACTTATTATAGTTCTATTTGCATTTTGGTACCCTTTTTACTAAGTTTTAATGTAGTAGTATTTTATGTTTTTCTAATGTAAGTTGTCATAAAATTGTTACTGTAGAACACTATTGTTTATACTAAGGTCTTGTTTTAAAAGCAATGTATTGCTCCAAATCATCGCTTTTTATATTTCTAATATATTGGTTACCGGTTTGTGAAAGAAGTTTACTTCAAACAGCCCTGCATGAAGTTTGGATCCAGATTTAGCAATTCTTACCAAGTTTTATCTTAGTTATTAGAATACATTATACTTTGTTTAAAACTTTAGGATAAGCTTCTGTGACCATATCACAAATACTCTGTTCTACTATCTCTTAGGAATCTGGTTTACACCAAACCCTTGTACATTCTGCCAAACCTAATCTACTTAGCATTGCTAAACACTCCTTAACATTGGATTTCCGACCGTCTGAGCGCGATAATTTCTTTGCAGATGTCAAACCTATTCGAGCTAATATTCCTACTACTGATCCAGCCGAAGATTGGGCTACTCATCCATTTTTATTGGACGAAAGACATCAACATCCTTTATTCCGTTGCCCAGAGTACATACCAACAGAGTATTCTGAAAGTATATTTCAATCACATTCTCCTCATGTTTATTCCGAATATAGCGGCAAAATTCCATACCCACCTAGTACTTCTGAAAATGGCGTTTCTACACCACAACCTCTCTCTGCACCTGCAGCTTCCACTATTGGATACTCTCCATTTATTGTTTCCTCAAACTTTCCATCAGGCACTCTTGCTGCTGCTAGTAGTGTATCTTCTATTGGATTAGGGGTTGAAGCAGTAAGTCTTGTGACAAGAAAGGCATGCTCATCTTTGCCCCCTCCTTGCACGTTTATCACTTGGTTGAAGGTAATCAAATTACCTCAAATATAACTGCCGTCCCACATCTACTTTATAATTGCTTGCCTCTTTTCTAGCATGATTCAATATTGATTAATCATCACGTACAACCTTTTCTAAAGTCGCCTAAACAGATTTAGCTTTATTATTTTGCACGGTACTATAATAAGTTGCACATCTGGATGCCTTAAATGTTTTGTTCCTTTTTGTCCTCTTAGCAAAGAAATCTGAATATTTTTCTCTTTCTAATCTAGGAAAGTAAGGCTGACAATAATGAATCTCTTACTCCTAGCAGTACACCAACACATTCACGAAAGAATAGACGAAAATCCAATTTATTTGTAAGCTGATTTTAAACTCCACAAGATTTAAATTCGTTTTTCTATACCTTTTTGTGGCCATATATATTTAGTATATATTTAGTAGGGACATATTTGTCAAATCTTATATCACTCTGTTTTGGTATTTTCCATTCTTAGTTGTACGTACTTATGCAGCTAGCTAAAAAAATCTTAGTACTGAATATAATCTAGGTTGTTAACTTCTCTTTTTTTAATTTTCACACACTTAACTTTCGAACCTCGAACTTAATCAACGTTTATCTTTAAAGAAAAAGATTTATGGATCTACATGCTCTTCACCGGAATTGTCATAGTTTTTATTTTGTCTGAAAATTTTTCGGATGTTTACTGTTTCATTTAGTGAAAATATGCATATTGGTTTGTTTGAGGTTAATATCTTGTTACATGATTAGCTGGCGAATAAAAAAAGGGATTGTTATAAAAACAACTCTGGCTTAAGACTGGTAGGTCCTGGGTTCGAATCTCGCGAGTGCGGGATCGTGGATGCGCACTGCCACTGAGCAGTTCCATAATAGGACGAGTTGGCCGTCCAGTGCTTCCTGGTTTTCCATGGTGGTCTAGCTTCAATTGACTCATGATTTTTACTATGAAAACACTAAATTCTCCACAAAACCCCCTCTGATCAATTATATGTATAATCATTTGGTTAACGAAAAATGCGTTTAATTAATTCTGATTGTTGGCTGACTCTTGGGCATTAGTTTAGAAACTTGATTGTAACTCATCAAGTGAAGATTCATGTACTCGTCTTTAACTTGTACTTTATGTTTGAGAGCTAGCGATACTGCTTGGCTTTCCAAACAGAAATTATATAAAATAGGATTTAAACCTGGAGCGTAGTGGTTTAAAGTCGAACGCCTTTACCACTAAGCCGCTATTTGAATATACTGGCTCAACATATGCAATATAAGGTTTATTGTTATGTATTCCATTTTACCACTTAGTTGATCAGTTTCGTACACATTTCGATACCTTCTTCGTACCACAGTTTGGTTTCGTAAACAAAACTGCCAGTGCCTGTTCTTGGTTTATGGACCACAACTTTATAATAAATGAAGCATTCAACTTTCAACCACTGAATTACAGGTTATTATTAGATCGGATTGTAGCTAGTTCGTTTTAAGCAAACAGTCAGTCATAAAACGTATACACGAGGCTTCGCTTAGTTACTGTTGTATAGTAAATATCTCATACTTAACGAGTCAGAAACCTGTTATTTTATTACTTTTCTTCTGTTAAGACTTTTTCCATACCAAGTTGTTAAAAAAAATTATTCATGTGTTTTGGCATGCTGATTTGTTTTGTGTGTGAAAAACCTTATATAGTGAACATGACTCTCCCATATTACTTACTTCCCATCATCTGCATTTACAAACTGTATGACATTACAATCTTTCTGTTGTACTTCATTAATATGTTCAGTCATGCTGAGTTTAGTGTATTTAATGTGTCATTTTGGTTTCCTATATCTCGCTTTTATCAAACAGTTGAGATAAATCATCTAATTTTGTCGAATTAGAAATAAACTAATTAAGATAATGATCGTTTTTGTTGGTGTCGCATGTGGCTATCCACTAGTGAACTCACAGTTGAATTCGCCTATCATTTCGATATGGTAGAAATTTGTGGCTCAGGATGATTAGCTTGATGATATTAAGTTCTCTGAGTTTGGGTAGTTTAGTCTTTGAGTTTCTGATTGTCTTTCTGGGCAGCATCGTTAGCACAAATTTCTGGTAGAAATGATAGATAAACCTGCTAATCACTTCTGGAGAAATGGTCATAGTCCACTTTCATCTAGAGTGTATACCGGCAATGTCTAGAAAATCTATGAAAGCTTTGCAATTAAACCCTCAGCTCAAAAAAATACAGTTTCACCAATCTAAATACTACAAATGAAATAAAATTCAATTACTAAGAAGTAAAAAATTCACGTACCCATTTTTGAATCAAACTATTTGATAAAAGTAAGCAGAAGTAATGATAATAACTGACTGCCTAAACGGAAGTAGATGGAACGTAGTGCTTAAGTATGCAATTCAATAGTTGTTGTTGTAAATGTCGTGTGTGGCTTTAATCACTCAGTGAGAGAATTCATCAAGCAAAATATACCTCTTGTTGTGCTAACGAGGTATGGCAACTTGGACCGATGCATAAATATGCCTGGTCCTACGTTGTTGCTGACTGACTGACTGACTGACTTAATCGCAATCAAAATTAGAATATTTTGCTTTGATTTTCTTCACTGAATATATGAGTTAATTTTAAAACTTGTCATTATAGGTTTATAGTAAACTGTTGTATTATCTACCTTTTTATTATTAAACGAGTTTATCAGAAAATCTTTCGAAAGAAGTATGTATTTAGAAAAATAAAACAGTTTTATTTGGAATACAACTTTATGGTTAGTGAAAAACTTTGTATATTTTAGTGTATTTGGAACATGACTAGCGATGGTATCCAAGATATGCATTTCGTCCTATTCTGAACTTGTCACATGTGTGTATGAACATCTGAGTGTTAATACTCACATTAAAACTTGAGTCCAATACCCTTAGTTTCAAACTTTTATACTTTATCCACGGAGTCTAGATAGCCATTAACTTGATTAAAGAGCATTTCATGAATCTATACTTAGGCAATCAGCTCAGGATACACGTAAAAGTTGTGACTAGATGACTATATTGACCCTATCCGTTCAGGTAGTACATATACCAGTGAATATTGATGGATTAGAGTCCTTAATATCAACAACGGGAAAACCCAAGCACTTACAATTTGAATTATCAACTAAAAATTTGGTATACATCATAGTCACTTATTGCTTTGTTGTTGTATTGTTTGTCATCTTAGTAGTGAATCGTCCTGTCATACATATTTCTTGACTACAATTTCAACTAGTATTTCTTAATTTCAGCAAAAACGTAATGAAGATGAACGTGAAAGAGAGAAGAAATTGAATGGAATCGGAAGTGGACGTGCAATCCCACTAAAGCAAGTGAGTATTTTCTTAAGCGATTACTCAAATTAAAATACTTTTCTTATCTAATACATGCTGTTAACTATGTATAGTAATATGATTCATTGCTTAAGTCATATGTATATTGCCTGGCAAAAGCCAGGTCAAATTATGCCAATCCTGGTTATCTTTGACTCCCTTGTAATTTTAATCTGGCTGTAAAAATCAGATTTTCAACGCGTTAGTGAGAGCAATTTTGCTCTATGCTTATAAAACCTTGCCTTTCCGGTTTCAGGATGTTAAGTGACTCTTTTTGTTTGATCATCATTGACCACGAAGGATTGCTGACATTCAGCTGCAACACCATTTTAGTAATGCAGAGGTTCGTCATCGTGTGTTTTGACACAGCGACGATAAGTTAGCTGGTGTCACTATCTTGAAATGCCCATTTCGGTGGCTTGGATATGGACTACGAGTGAATTCCATATCGTCCATTCCTTGCCAACTTTGGTATTGGTTGGGAAAAGTGGAGAGGTGGTCAGTTTATGACAATCTACCGTGGTGTATATATATATATATATATATATAATTTGCCTACATCAATGCATGTATGCCTAGATGTAATGTATATTACTGTTCCACGCATCTCATCAGATAGACTGATTCTTTCAAACATTAATATTATATTCATAGTGTGTGTTAGACATAAGTAACAGTAAAAGTACGTCAGTATTACAAAAAAACACGGTCAATCCACCTGTCTCATTTATTTGCTCAGTAACAATAACAACTGGATCGGTTGAGGTTAGATATTAACACCGTTGGATGCCGGCCGGCTCAGTGTTCTATAGGTTAAGTGCTCTATCGCGAGACTAGTAGGTCCTCGGTTTAAATCTCGCGAGGCGGGATCGTGGATGCGCACTGCTAAGGAGTCCCACAATAGGATGAAACGGCCGTCCAGGTTTTCCATGATGGTCTAGCTTCAATTGACTCATGATCTCAACTATATAAAATAACAAGTGACTATTCATATTGGGATATGCTTAGTAAAAATTTACCTTGTGTTGGACAATTTATTATTATGGTTTTGAAGGATAAAAGAGATTTGTCTTATATCTTTTTTGTTCCTTGTTCAACTCGTGATTAGTTAATGAAAACTCAAATATATTCCTTTTGTTTGTGTGCATGTTTGTTGTTATAATCTGAAAACTCTCCATAAAACAACGGTAACTTGTTTCCAAGAGAACATGGAGTAAAGACCAGTTATTGAAAATAGATATCCAAGTCATATTAATTTTTACAAATAGGAGTTCGATTAACTGGTGACTGTCTGGTGAAATCATTCTGAAGCTTAAGAAAAGAAGTAGATAGTTTGGAAATTCAATAATTTCTATAAAGTGTAACAAAATACTAAATCTCTACATAAACCTCTAATAATAATAATAATAATAATAATAATAATAATGCTCACTAGTGACTGACTTCGAGAGGTAAATCCAGGAGTTCTAGTGAGAAGCAGTGACCAGTGGAGTTCAAACCACGTCTTTTGTGAGATAGAAACTCACTGAAGACAATTGTTGAACGGTCGCTCAACTTCGTGGATTGGTTGGAGTTAGACATAAACACCAGATGCCTGCTCAGTGATCTATCGGTTAAGTGCTCTGGAGCGAGACTGGTAGGCCCTGGGTTCGAATTTCGCGAGGCGAGGCCGTGGATGCGCACTGCTGAGGAGTCCCACAACAGGACGAGTTTGCTGCTCAGTGCTTCCAGGTTTTCCGTGGTGATCTAGCTTCAATTGACTCACGCTTTCAACTTTGAAAATACTAAATCTCCACAAAAACCCCTTCTAATAAAAAGTAGTGAGATTAGTAAAACAAATATATATAAAAAAATTTTTTTGCAATATTCAATTTTCCAATTAAGTTATGATTTTTTATGTTGAAGTTTATGACGTTTTTTTATATTGAGAACATCTATGCGTAAAGGTAGTAGCTGTTAATTTAATTGAATAGTATTAAATACTACTACTACTACTACTACTACTACTACTACTACTACTACTACTACTACTACTACTACTACTACTACTACTACTGCGACTGGACTGTTATTGTTTATTATTTCATTAGATTTAATCTATTTTTCTATTTAACACTTTCTGGTAGTTACAAAGAACTATTCACTCTTTATCTAACCTTAGATTTTGAGTCCCAAAATCAGTTTATATATTTTATCTTTCATATATTCCTTCTTCTAATGTCATATTTTCTATACCTGATCTTTAATTTAATAACTAATACTACTACTACTACCCCATTATTTATTTTGATCATTTCATTTTTCTGTATGGTAAGTTAAGGCGATACCAGGTTTTTTTGTCCCATATGACTGAATGGTGAGTTTAAATAACTGCTTCTTAGAGTGTGAGTTTGTAATTTTTGCTAAAAACTCAGTCTAGTTTCATTTTGTCTTCAAATGCCTGTAGCATTATTTTACGAAGTGAATTTAGTGTTTTAATTGACCATTTCTAAATAAGTATCACAGTTACTTTTTTTCTTATATAACCTTGTTACATATATCCCTAAGTAGGGAAATACGTGCAGTTTTACTGTTCCCTTAATTACTCATGCCAACAAATATTGTTTAGAATACTAGTTATTTAAAATATAAACACTGTGGATGATTATCGTGATGCACGTATGTTCTTGATTGGTGATTCAGAACATTCGTCCTAATGTCTTTTCATCATATGACTGAGTTTATGTACATTATCTATAAAGAGCCGGTGTTTATTTCTCAATACGTATTTGAGCGTTGATAGTAAATCGGTTGATGTTTAGTTTGCAACTAAAAATGAAAATTTCTATCATTCTGAGTCGTATTTAAACCGTCTGACTGATTAGGGCATTAGATTAAAATGTAATCGAACTCATTTATGAAACACATATTTGTTTATTTATCTTTAAATATAACTATTTGTACGGCAGAGAGTGGGGAGAGTTCGCTCTCCCTCTCGAAATGCTCTCACATGGCTACGCGTATTTAGCCTCTGACAGGGAAGTCCTACTCACTGCCTTCTCATATCACTGGTGTTGTAGCCCTCACACAAATCGAATGAGATTTGTGTGGCGCATATATATCTGGTGCCCCTTTGTACCAATATTTGTTTAAAGAAAGAAAGAAATAAACTGCATGAGTTCCAAACTCGAAGTAAGCAGAATGAAGTTTAAAGCTTTGACCTAATGATTAAAATCTGGGTGTTTCAATCACTTCCTGTCCCTTCTCGCTGTGATTTATTTGAACATGAGCCTTCTTTTTCTATCATAATCAATAATTAATATATATAACTTTGTTACTCACGTACTTTCACCCCTTACCTCATGGTGATTATAAATGATTGACCTCATGTTATGTCAATTACATGTTGTATTATACAGTAAATTATATGTTATTTTTTAAAATATTTTACATATCTAATTCAGGGATTTTTATATAAACGAACTTGTAAACCATTAAGTAAAGAATGGAAAACTAAAAAATATGTAACATTGACAGATGATGCTCGTCTTACTTATCATCCAAGTATTCATGTAAGTTCTTTTAATTAATAAATAAATGTTTAATTATTGTAAATATCTTCTTTTTAGAAATCATAGTTTAGCTAATGTAATAGAAATACATATAAGGAGTTTCTAATGTACAAGTTAGTAGTTAGAAACGTTCAATACGTACTATTATGTTTTTGTCATTAACAATTCTTTGTTTAGTAAGCAAAGTTGGATAGCTGCTAGCAGTGGAATCCAGGACACGCACAAGCAAGTGGCTATCAAGACTCAGTAGCTGAGGGGATAACGCGATGGCGTTTGAAGCGATAGGTACTAGGTTCGAGTCTCAGAGTGAACATCAACTCTAAGATATAGGTACATCCAGCTGACGAGTCCTAAATGGGACGAAACGCGCATCCTGGATTCCACTGCTAACCACTATCCATCTTTGCTTACAATGCTTGTGAATTAAGGCTATATCGAAACAATACGCACAGTATGCACATATGCCAATAAGAGACTGACCAGTTGCATTCCTAAAACATCAATGGGAAGATTCAAACAAACAATACCATTAAGAGTAGAAGATACTCGTAATTTACTATAATTTGACCACAGATGTCTTAGAAATATTGCTCGCATCTGCTGGGATCACCGGATAAGTAATAGTGAGGTTAGACACAAGGTATCAGGGAATGATGGTAAATCAATTGATGAGGTCATGAATCTTCATACGTGTTACGTATGCCTGAGCACCGATTACCACGAAGCGCAATGCTGACTAGTGCTGGGGATAGTTGGAAGAAAGTTAGGGGCGGCCAAGCCAAAACATAGCATCAGTGCTTGAAGTCACTAACTTCTAGCCTGAGCCATGTTGGTACATGCAGACTACTTGGTTGTGGTCCACGTGACTATTATAAGCGATGATTGGAGACTCTGTGTGACGTGGTTCAGAATCGATCACAATGTCGTAGGTGTATACACTCTTTATCTTCCCTTAAACCTTAAGATTAAAATTGCTTCATAACTTTTTTCCTTCCTATACTATATCGTTATATACAACCTATCTTTTATACATTACCACCACTAAATTAACTACTATGAATTTGGTGTTCATCTCGCACTGCTAATTAGGTATGGCAACTTGGACCAATGAATATATGTGCCTGGTCCTACGTTGTAGCTGGCTGACTGCTTAAATGCTACTTATTAAACATATCTGATTACACATGGACTTTCACTTGTTCACTTCTTGTTTACGACTTAAAATACCCCACAAGTATTTATATAATCATGATACAATGTAAGTAAATGAGAATACAAATGAAATAAGCCTATTTAGTGTGATCGAAGAGTTTTTTTTTTAAACCCTTTAAATGAGAATATACAATATTTGAGATGAATTTCTCTCTTTCTAGTTGAAAAATAAAAACAAAACCTTATTTCAGCTATGTTGTATTAAAAATCCTTAATCTGTTTCTGAAAAATAATAAAGTCATTCAGTACATTGATCTTTTCTGTTCCTTCAAAAAAATCGTATCAACAATTACTGGTACATTTTGTTCACTATCTTTCTTCTTCTTCTTCTTCTTCCCTCTTAAACTATCTGTTGTCATTTATACTGAGAAAAAATCTTAATTTTAGGTCACTCTACTTCTTGTTGTTGTTGTTGTGGTTGTCATAATGTTGGATAAGATTTTATCATGAATATTTTCTTTCAGTTCAACAATAATAACTTGTTAACATTATTTCTTTACTCTATTCTTGTTAGTCACCATAATGATTAGTTGTTTCTTTTTTTTTTACCTGAATAGTAAACCATATATTATATTGTATATGAATGAAAATTTGTAACATATGTCCAATAAATTGATTCATCTGTTGTTTTATCTCACTTATCATTAATGATGGTTAACTGTGTCTGAACAAAGAAAATTTCTTCACTTGGATAAATTTCACAACTTATTAGGATTACAAGCCAGTAAATATTCACTAAATAGGTTGAATTCGTACATTCAATATATATATATACATATATATGTATATTGTAAAAGAAACATCCCAATCTATATATTAAATGAATTAAAATTAGGAAAATATAGTAAACGTTTGATACAAAGTAGATTTGTACAAAATACATTGAAATATTGTTACTCTTATAGGGTAGTCTTGATTGATTTTCAACAATCTGTTCAGTTTTATTGTTGTAAGTTATGGCTCCCAAATGCCCTGGTGCGGTCGAGAGTGGGGAGAGTTTGCTCTCCCTCTCGAAATGCTCTCACATGGCTACGCGTATATAGCCTCTACCAGAGAAGTCTTACTCACTGCTTTCTAGTGACATTACTGTTGTTTATGAAATTGAGAGGACCAAAAGCGAATGTCCGGCTCTATAATCGAATTGGTGGAAACGGAAAGTCCACCCAGGGGAGTTGGAAAACCCTGATCACAAACCAATGGTGCACATGGGTTCCAGTATTCTGAAGGAACAAGTGGAATATGAACCAATTGTTGGTCACCGGCTACCATGGGACTGCATCTCCTCACGATGCTCCACTGCCTTGTTGATCAGATCTTTAGGTCAATGGCTGCGGACGTGGCCCTCTAAGAAAACCATCTGCTTCGGTTTGGGCAGTCGGGTAGTATTACATCCCTCACACAAATCAAATGAGATTTGTGTAGCGCATATGTATCTGTTGCTTCCTTGTATCAATATTTATGTGTTTAGATAAATTAAAATAATGTGACTTATGATCCTTGTAAATTATATCCAATGGTGATTAAGTTGTTTATATGGTTTCATATCGGTAAATCAGTTAGACTGTACACTGCGAATAATCTGTCGACCATTTTCATGCATCAAGTCGATCGATAAAATGACCTCTGAAAATGGATGTTCTTATCAGTGGTACTACTGTGTATCAAATATAATGTTAGTGTCAAGATGATAATTGAAATTAGTTATCCTGTAGGCTGTACTGTCGACAGAATACATATCAAAAATTTTAATAACAGTCAAATGATTGGACCTATACAGTTTTCGAATTCGCTATTAGTTGCACTGATTTCAGCCGTTGGTCTTCTTGTACGGTTAACTTTGATGACGACCATAATTCTTAACAACTTTGTCATTAATTTATACTTTTTAATAATACGGCAAACCGTTTTGAATATCAACTTTTATAACAAAATAAATTTTTCTTTATACTTGACTAGTTCAAAAGTCGAATCTTGTGTTGACCGACACATTGTACCAAAGAGGATTAAATAACACTAACAACCATTATATGTAAATACATTAGAATTATCTTTATATTAGAAACGACGAACTGACGTTCAATATGTAAAAATAAGTAGTGCTTCACGTGGGGGAACTCGGAGTAAAAAGTGTATTCGAATATTACAAAAGGTTATACAGACAGTCGCTGGGAAATTAAACCGTCTCGACCATCATCTTCAAATGTGGTAATAATGTTACTTACTCAGCACTTTGCTACTCGGAATAGATAACGATCAGACCCTTTCCTTACCTTAAAGTTCGCATTCAAAAGAACAGAATTTTTTTATTCTTCATCAATCAGATTTTATAGTTTGCAGAATAAACTGGAGCGGTACTATTTCAGTGCCACAACTGGCTCTTAAAACATCGTGTGACCTTTGATAATCCACAGTAACGATTTTGAATGACATGGCTCAAAGTCGTTTGCGATGGCGAAGGTGCATCCACTCTTTGTGTTCTACCAAATTCTAATCTTCTGAATTCTTCATACTCTTACTATCTCTACCACTATAGGATTTAAATCGACAACTGCATCTCTGTGCTAATGTGGTATGGCAACTCGAACTGATTACGTACTTACGAAGTTCTGCGTTATGACTGACTGACTATATATAGGTCTTGTATTTAGTTTATAAGTTCGTGTTGGGCTGCTGATCATATTTCGTTTATAATCAGATACAACATCTATGTATTCCATTTTGTACGAAACATTTTTTCACAATCACGTGGGTAGGGTTGTTTATTCGAATACTATATTCGCACATATAATTACTTTGTTTTTTACGATCTGTTCTGCTATTGATTTTTACTCTTTTTTTACTTAGGATTATATGGATAATTCACATGGTAAAGAAATTGACTTAAGTAGAACAACCGTCAAAATTCCCGGTGTAGCATTTCGTCAAGTTGGAAGTCGTATAACAAGTAATGGACTGTTGCGAAGTCAATTAAATGATGGTGGTACAGGTAACCGTAAGATAACGTACAACGTTTTAATACAACCACATTCTTGTCAAATATTTTTCTCTCTAATTCGTTGTTTTGTCCCTGTTTGAAACTTCTTAGTAATTGATTTTTTCTTCCTTCGAATATCTTACTTTCACGTCCATTCACATTAGTTCGCCCATTGAAATTTACTCTTAGAATTTTGTAGTAAACATATTTATGATCAACAGATATACTGAAAATCGTCTCTAGTGATGCAGATCTTTTAAGCCTGACCGTTGCTGCTACCTTGACGTGATGGTCGGCCTTGCCTATCGTGATGAACCAATCGAGATATGCTGGCTGGAACAATCGTTCCTCAAGGTTTTACCATGTCAGGCAGGTCAGCTGAAGAGCGGTAAGACTAAAAGCAGCAAACCCAAGGTCCGAAGGCGAAGTCGCACTGCTGACTGTACAGAATAACAGCGATGCTGCCTTCCCACAAGGAGTGTTGTGGTTAGAAAAGATCGACCCTAAAAATGCACACCCCGCCTTATCCCACCGTTATCCGTCTCCGGTTGTAAGGTCCTTTGAAGAACGGAGCTAACACGTCAAAAATCCTGCACAAAAAGGCCGTGCGTGACCGGCCTCAAGCAGTTGTCCCTTGGGCACTATGGTCACATTCTCAGGTCATTAAGACCACTTCTAACCCAATTTCCTTTTCAGGTACCTCTAGAAGAACCCTTCCACTATGTGGGCGACCGGGAAGTGATAACTGCTTTCATACCTCTAACAGCGCTCAAGAGATTTTTTAAGGTTGACTACTGCAAACAATAAGTGACTGGCATTTTTCGCCTATTCATTTTTTTTAAGTTCGTATAAGGGATAATAAACAAATCCATTTATTAGTCCAATAAAGGATATGAGATGAAAATAAAGGATGAATACATAGGATATGTCATTATTGTTTCTAAAGTTGAAAGTATAGAGAACACAGAGATGGATTGTGTCTAGCAGTGGAATCCAGTACGCGCGTTTTCTGCTAACCACGCTTGTGAACTAAGGTATATCGAGGCAATACGCACAGTATGCACATATGCCAATTAGAGACTGACCAGTTGCAGTCCTAACAAAATCGATGGGAAGATTCAAACAAACAATACCAAGTGAATTTATAGAGAACACAGTTTATAGAAAAAAATGGATTAAGTAGATCGGCAATTTCAGTCTTAGAAAACGTAATAAATGGTAACTTCAATTAATCAGGAAATTTTTAACATCCTTTCAATAAGTACTTTCAATATCTCTGATTTTGGTTCAGTCAGTCACAACGTAGAACTTCGTACGTACGTACATCAGTTCGATTTGCCATACCATATTAACACAGAGATGCAGTTGTCGATTCAAATCCTATAGTGGTAGAAGTAATAAGAGTATAAGCATTATGTGAAAGATTACGGTTTGAAGATGTTATTGAAGGAGTATAATCCAGTGAAATAAATTTGGAAAGAGATAAAGGATAGGGATATAAAGAATTCAGAAGATTAGAATTTGGTAGAACACAAAGAGTGGATGCACCTTCGCCATTGTAAATGATTTTCAGCCATGTCATTCAAGTTCTCTAACCATTGATTACTATCATCTCGCGGATCCCAACCAGGTAATCTACACAGACCAACATGACTCAGTCCACTTGTCAGTGACTTCATGGATTTGTGCAATGTTTTGGTGTGGCCATCCAACCTACTCCTATACCATAAAACATTAATTTTGGTTGTTTAGTTGCTTTGATAATCCTATATTGTTATCCAGCTCATATAACTAAACCTAGCGATCATTATATTGATATGAATAAATATGTTGTGTTGAACGTTCTAAATCATTATCCTCTTTTGTGTATATACTTTATTTCCTTAAATTCTTTTTTTTTAATAGATCGTCGGTCAACTGGCGTAGATGTTAAGAATCCTACTGAAAATTCAGCCCCTCTTAATGATAATTCAGCATCAGGTCAAAAACATTATTTTATATGTCTTTCTCTTTATTTGTTAAATTTTGTAAGTAAGTTTTGTATATTTCGTATCCGCTGAACTAGATAAATAATTAACATGATCGGAAGAGAAAATAACATCAACAAGACAACCATGACATTAGTCACTGTTCAGTGATCAGTCAATTATAAATACCTCAGTTCTACAGAAGGTTGGTCGCTGCCATAATCGTTTAAAAGCAAAGTGTCAGACTACAAATCTGAATGACATGGAATCACATACGCCAGTCTCTTCAAGGTTACATAGGTACATCTTACTTACAAATTCCATGCAACATTAAACCTAAGTTCAGAGTTTCCTGTTGGCTACCTCCAACCACTCATTAGGGATAGCTGAAGATAAAACGTTTTAAAATGTGCTAGATGACGTACAAAACTATGTAATAACTAAAAAAAAATCAGGATTCACCGGAAAGTGGTGAATATACTTCACTATGCTACTGATTATTTTTAACTAACAATCCTCTGACCATGGATTATAATTATTCTAACTTGGTCATTTACATCAGCTAATTTGTCTTGGTTCACTAGTAGTTAACGAGTTTCCTCTCCTTGCCTTCACCATTTTTCAAAACTACTACTGCCCTGAATAAATTGTGAACAAGTCAAAGTATTATATCCGTGGAACCAAAGAAATTAAACAGAATGCACTTTGAAAAGAAACAAAGTAATTTTCCTCACCCACCAACATACAGAAGAAAATGAATAAATATATCTGTAATACCACATGTTATTTCAGACTATACTATATAGTTTAACTGTATTTTAGGTTAAAAAAAACTAATGTATTCTTATTAGATCCAAAGGGGTTTTGTGGAAATTTAGTATTTTCGTAGTTGAAAGCGTGAGCCAATTGAAGCTTGACCATCATGGAAAACCTGGAAGTACTGGACGGCCGTTTCATCCCATTATGGGACTCTTCAGCAGTGCACATCCACGATACCGCACTCGCGAGATTCGAACCCAGGACCTACCACAGTCTCGCGCCAGAGCACATAACCGATAGACCACTTCTTATTAGCTTTCAAATATCAGTGGATATTCCTTTTTAATAAGATTTTGTCTAAACTATTCAAAATGAGAATTGAATTGAAACCCACTTATTGAGCACTGTCTTTCAAGATCGCAAGCTGATGTCAGTCAATCTTTGATAAAAACTACATCTACTACAAACAAACAGCAAATTGTTCACTTGTTTAATAATTACCTAATTTTTCTGTTTTCTGTGACACGTTTTCATTCAATTTACTGTATAACACCGAACGAACTTTCGATTCATTCTTGATTGTTACCTTGTCTACTAGTCTATTCATAATTATTCATATAATTGGCATATACTTTGTTACTTGTTTTTGTATCTATTCATCACATATTTTTTTATCGGTTTGTTTTTACCTATTTCTCCTCTTCTCCAATCCATTTCATCCCATCCTGTCTCCCCATGTCTGGTTTGTTGTCCGCTGTTTGTTTTTTTTCTACATGGGAATAATTATCAATTCTGCACAAATTGATTCGTCTTTTTCGATGCTTCTGTGTTCATTTAAAGTAAGTAAAATATATTTGAAAATAGTGTTACAATCTATTTGGTACCTTTTTGTTTTTGAAGTTCGAAAATGTACGCATACATAACATATTTGTCTGATCTGATATTTGAATTAATAATACCGTTGTCAAGTAGAACGATGATCATAGAAACAACAGTAAAAGGAACAGGTTTTGAACTTTTGACCCTTAGTGTTTGAAACCCACTTTCTTTATTCATTGGTTTTTTGCTTAGGATTTACTAGCTAAACAGTTGATCTTCAATTATGAACGTGTGCAACACCAATTTTTTTATACTTATATGTTGATTTATGAAGATTTACGATTTTTCACTGCTGTGAGAAAACCAAGAAAAATAGAATTGTCTTCAGTGAGTTCCTGTCTCACAACAGATGTGGTTTGAACTCCACTGGTCACTGTTTCTCACTAGATTTCCAGGAATCATCTATTGAAGTCAATCACTAGTGAGCATTTGATGATTATAAACAGAAGGTTTTTTTTGTGTGGAGATTTAGTATTTGCATAGTTGAACGCATGAGAATAGAATTGTCATATTGTTATCTGAACCAAAACACAAAAAAGCGAGCTTCGTTCACAAAAAGAAAGTTGAAATATTTTTCATCTCCCGCTGGTGGTGATAGCCTTTGGTAGCTATTGGCGTCGTACTGACCGTTGGTCTGGTAGGAAAACGTTATGTGAGCAAGGTGCTGATGAGAACACTTCCTTACTATGCTAGTGAAACTTGGCTACTTAGTTTGGGAGATGTTTGACGACTTGCTGTATACAATCATCGCTGTCTCCCATGAATTGTTGATATCTGTTGACAGTTCTTTGTAAATAATGCCAAGTGTTTTGCAGTTTATTATTTGACTCCATGAAGTGGGAGATGGCTTTTTGAGGAATATCTATTGGTTATTTAGAACTTTAATATTACTTCAAAGGCAATTCGAGCCTCGAGTTTAATCAAAATTAGTTTAATCTGATATAAGTTTTCTATCTCATTTCAAATAAACAAATCCATCTTGGTTGTATTTTTCGTTACAGTGTATTTTGTATTCAGGACCATTCTTTTCCAGTAATTCATGAATTATATTGCATCACTCTCTTCACACTGTCATAATTTTGTTTTATGTGATAAATTTTTTAGGTTTTTATTATAAAGTTCCATATTTCTAGAAATTCCATGGGATTCCCTCGGCCTAAAATTTTGACTTTTTTTCAGTCGATTTTACGTTCATGGTTGTTCCGATTCATTGATACCTTACGAGTATATCATATCACCTGATTGCTGGTCTATGTTCATTTATGTGTTAGTAAAGAGCAGGCCCAGTTTGTTACACTTTCAGTTAATGAAATCTATGTTATAGATGATGTGTCCTCCTTTGCGATTGCGTCTTTTGGTTTTCATAGAATTGAAATGACTGCTCGCTTGTAACATTAATTCTAAAGAGCTTCATAATCCTTGAGATATTTATCACATGGTAGAAGGATCCTTTTCTTGGTTTCTAAGATTAGTTCTATGACGGTATGTCGATTGGCCTTTCGTCTTTTGTTGAAGTTATTAGCGTAGCCATTATTAAGGAAAATGAACTGGAGATGAGTGTTTTCAATTTTTCGTGCAATGAGTGTACTGGATTGCTTTGACTCTTCTGAATAGTACCTGGATACAACTTTTGTGTGCTGCTGGTTTTTTACTGTTTTGGTTTAATATTTGATCTACGTGGTTTGGTTTTTCAATGTACTTGTATTTCCACGATTCCTGTCTGTGTTCTGTAAATTTGATATGGTCGAAAAAACCTTTAATTAACTCACAAGTATTTCAGAGTTTGTCTCTCTTTAGAGATTGGCGCAGACCAGGGCATGATCAGACTCCAGATAGGTACTCCAAAAGGAGCGGCAGTCTTGTACACAACCACGCCAGCGGTAGCTGATCGCGATGTGATCAATCTGAGTCCAGGCTTGGGATGCAGAGGGAGGACGCCAGGTGGCACACCGGCGATGACTGTGCCGGAAGTTAGTGCTGGCCAGAAACACGTTGTGGTCTGTGCACAGTTGCAGCAAACGGTCCCCGTTATCTGTCCTGCGACCAACAAGTCCCCATCGGCCACCTAGACGACTCTCTTCTGTGCCTAGACGCCCGACCTGTGCATTCAAGTCTCCGGCTAGTACTACAATATCTGTCGAACGCGCTTTCTGGAGAAGAACTGTTAACTGATGGTAAAACTCATCCTTGATTGCATCCGGGCTGCAATCTGTCGGGGCATAGGCGGAGATGACGAAAAGACACCGTTTCTCACGCCGGTTTCTTCTCACTTTGATGGAACTCTCTAATCTAACAGCACATAACCGACTGTTAATGGGGATCCAATCGATTAGTGCGTCCAAACTATTGACTTCTGTCATTCTTCGTAGGTTGTTTAAAACCCGAGAACGATTGACTCGCGAGGAGCAGGCTGGTTTTCGTTCTGGTCGAGGATGCATTGATCACATCTTCACCCTCCGCCAAATGTTAGAACACCGTCATACTTATCGCAGGCCAACAATCGTAGTGTTTCTTGATATCAGGGCGGCCTTCGATTCGTTGGACAGAACTGTTCTCTGGGATTGTCTATTGAAGAAGGGTGTGCCTGAGAAGTTCATTAACATCTTAAAGGCCCTGTACACGAACACCTCAGGCAGAGTGAGGGCATACAACCACCTTTCTCCCTTGTTCCATTCGAGCAGTGGGGTTAGGCAGGGTTGCCCGATCTCACCATTCCTCTTCAACTTTGCCATCGACGACATCCTGGAAACAGCTCTGATGGATGTAAGTAATGGCGGTGTGGATATGTTGCCTGGAGAACGACTTCTCGACCTCGAGTATGCGGATGATATTGTCTTACTGTGCGATAATGCCCAAGGCATGCAATCAGCACTTAATCAGTTGGCAATCAGTGTCCGCAGGTACGGCATGTGCTTTGCACCCTCCATGTGCAAAGTACTCCTACAAGACTGGCAGGATTCTAATCCTGTACTCACCCTGGATGATGAGGAGATTGAAGTAATTGAGAAGTTCGTGTATCTAGGTAGCTATATAAGTGCTGGTGGTGGCGTGAGTGATGAGGTTGATGCACGTATAAGGAAAGCCAGAGCGGCTTATGCCAATCTGGGCCATCTTTGGCGCCTTCGTGATGTTAGTCTGGCTGTAAAAGGTCGGATCTACAACGCGTCGGTGAGAGCAGTTTTGCTCTATGCTTGTGAAACCTGGCCTCTCCGAGTTGAGGATGTTAGACGTCTCTCTGTGTTCGATCATCGTTGTCTCCGAAGGATTGCTGACATCCAGTGGCAACACCATGTTAGTAATGCAGAGGTTCGGCATCGTGTGTTCGGGCACAGAGACGATAATACAATTGGTGTCACCATCTTGAAACACCGACTTCGGTGGCTTGGACATGTTTTACGAATGTCGTCCCAGAGACTTCCGCGTCGTGCATTATTTGCCGACCCTGGGACTGGTTGGAGAAAGCGGAGAGGAGGTCAGTGTATGACATGGTGTCGTGGCATGAAAGAGAGCTGCAAAGGGCTAGCTTGTGTTGGTCCTTCACGACTCCTTGGTTGGGGTCCGAGAGATGGTGCAACACAGTGGCTAGAGACGTTATCAGATATGGCTCAGAATAGAAACCAGTGGCGATCCTGCTGCAACCTTCTTTTACTTTCTACATAAAGAATGGTTCTTACTTTCCTATTTGAAAGAGTCTTCTGGTTGTACATTTTAGTCCGCCTTATCTTTTCATCCCTTCTCTTCCTACTTTCATTATTTTGTGTGGCGCATATGTACCTGGTGCCCTTTTGTACCAATATATATGTGTTTAAATAAATAAATAAATAAGAACAACAAATGTACCGTTTACATGTCGTATCAAAATTTTTTGTTTGACTATTGGTGTAAAATTATAGTCTCTAGTCTTTATATCACAGCTGTCATCGATTTTGATACATAGGATCTCGTTGATGTTTTTTTTATATCTGTTTTCAATGTACTTAGCTTTAAACGGCTGATTTCATGTAATTGTGACTAATACTAATTTTCATAGTTGAAATCATGAGTCAATTGAAGCTAGACGACCACGGAAAACCTGGAAGCACTGGACAGCCGTTTCGCTTTTATGGGACACCTCAGCAGTGCGCATCCACGATCCCGCACTCGCGAGATTTGAACCCAGGACCTACCAGTCTCGCGCCAGAGCCCTTAACCGATAGACGACTGAGCCTGCATCCAGCGGTGTTAATGTCTAACTTCAACCAATCCACGATTTTGAGCGACCGTTCACCAATTGTCTTCAGTGAGTTGATATCTTCACAACAGACTTGGTAGAACTCCACTGGTCACTGCTTCCCACTAGAACTCAAGGAGATATCCCTTGAAGTCAGTCACTAGTGAGCATATGATTAGAGGGGGACGAAACGTCCATCCAGTGCTTCCAGGTTTTTGATGGTGGTCTTGCTTCAATTGACTCATGATTTCAACTATGAAAATACTAAATTCTCCACAAAACCCCATCTGATCTGTAACACTAATTTGTAGAGAGTCTAATTCATAGTTATTTGCATTTGCAACTCAATAGTTGTAAGTCAATAGCTTTGGTTATCAGTTAGCGTTATCAGTTAGCAGGATTAACATTGTATGATCGTCACATAAATATTACGGATTGATTAAAGTATGGAATATTTGCTGCTAAATTCTATCTCAGTCATCTTAATGTACACAGTTTAGTTAGTTAGTTACCTTTAACTGTTGTGTATTAATAATATTGACTTTTTAAAAATCTCAATCGAATCAATCCTGATCAATTTAGAAACGATGTAGGTAGCATCTGTTTATGAATATCTTCGTTAAAATACACTAGTATTATTGATTAAGTAATAATTGTTGCCATTACTATTTTGTTGCAGTGATATTAGATCGTAAATACCGACTTGAATTGATTTTTCTGCCTACTTGGTGGTTGTTTCATGTTATTTTTTCAAGGTCATGCGATTGCTACCCACTCGATCGCTTTTCCTAGAGTTAACGAGTCTTTCTGGCAAAGACTAATCTTTGATTTTTATTGCATGCGGTCTAGTTGTTTAAGTGCTATTGGGTGTTACTATTGATCGATTCATTTAATCTGTAATTGATCTCTCATATTAGTAGTGTAAGCTGACTATATTCTCAATACACACACAATTTTCTTATATAATTATATATTAATAATCTGTGTTAAACCTTATTTAGGTGTTCAGTTTAATTCACTAAACTTAAAAGATTTCTATCATTATATTGATTCATTTTGTGCTCAAAGTTTATTTATTTAACGTAATTACGTATTGAAGTGGTATAGGGGATTGTTGGAAGAGAGTTAGGGGCGGCATAAGTGCTTGAAGTCACTAACTTCTAGTCTGATCCATGTTGGCAGATGCAGACTACTTGGTTGGGGTCGGCGCGACCATCGTAACCAATGGTTGGAGACTCTAGATGACATGGCTCAGAATCGATCACAATGGCGTCGGTGTATACACTCTTTATCTTCCCTTAAACCGTGAGATTAGAATTGCTTCATATCTGTCTTTCTTCCTATACTATATCCTTATATACAACCTTTCTTTATATACTACCACCACTACATTAACTACCTCTATAAATTTGGTGTTGATCTTGTTGTGCTAACGAGGTATGGCAACTTGGACCAATGCATATGTTTGCCTGGTCCTACGTTGTAGCTGACTGACTGACTACTTTTCATCACATTATTGGCGTTGTCAGTTAGCAGGATTAACATTGTATGATCGTCACATAAATATTACGGATTGATTAAAGTATGGAATATTTGCTGCTAAATTCTATCTCAGTCATCTTAATGTACATAGTTTAGAATTCATACTTGATTGTAAGTGTGTGAACTGTTGAAGAAATAAAATCATGAATAGCTTCAGTAGAATAGTTTTCGAATCCTCTCTGATGTCGGATGCAAGTTAGGATTATTATAAGAAAAAATCAAGCTGAATAATATTCACAAATTCTTTATCCCAATAACTTTCTTTTTTTTAATTATTTTTCTTCAGTTTATCTTTGTGAAAACTTCTAACAGGAGGCAAAGATTCATCATCAGTGAAAAAACGTCATAGACGTATTAAATCCAATCCAAAGAGTAATAACGCTGATGGTTCAGGTGATTCAACTGTTTTGTCCTTACACTATATTCATCAGTTTATTCATTCATTTTTTGACTGTTTTCATTATCTGCTACATTATTGTTTTGGTTAAAAGATTACTCTATCTAGTTAGTTGTAATCAATGTAAAACCTGGCGTATGTGTTCATCAGTCCAAGTAACCATATCACATCAACACAGTGAGATCAAATTATCATGATGAATATCAAAGCAGTGAAAGTAGTAGTATCAGCAGTGATAAGAACGATCAGAGGTAGAGAATATAATTCAGGAAAGAAGAATAAACTGTTGGAATAATAAACGTAAAATGTCTTTGAACCCCCAAGATTTAGGTCAAGATAAAATGTAAGCCTGCCTGTGCCAGTGTAAACAATTCTGAGTAGAGTTCAGGCAACGTGTCCAACTACCGATGACAACATAGTAGTCTAAATTTACTAACATGGCTCAAACCAGCAGGTAATAACTTCTTATCAAACTTTACTTTGGACTCCTGTAGCCTTCTCATGACATTCTTCATTGATTCAGGCAGTTATCGTCCAATTATACCATTCAACCTTATGTTCTTCCCATTTATTTGCTAGAGTTGACCCGATAATCTAACTTAAGTGGTGCTACTTCTTACAATTATTAGTTTTACACATTTTTTTAAAATATATGTACTTCAAATAAGATGGATATTGGTGGAGAATAGTTCAGTTTGTAGGATGGTACTCGTCTACCTTAAACCAACCAGTCGACATTCATTTAGATTTCTAACATCATTAAAATTCTCAACGAAAGCGTGGGACTTAAACATTAGTCTCAACGGATAGTCAATAAGTATTGAGATTTGAAACCCCTGAAGAAAACATCAATTCCCTTTATTATCTTTAGTTAGTTGATTGTTTCAGTAATTTTTACATGAAAACTAATTATTTCATCGAGCTATTGATTTTCCCTATCAGATTCCGAAGGTTATGAATTTCAATTGATATCAATGGATCGTCAATGGCATTTTGAAGCGACTGGTCCAGATGAACGAGATGAATGGGTTATGCATATTGAACGTGCTATTATGACAAGGCTTCAATTAAATGAATCATCTAAACGTACTCGTGCTATTGCTGCTACTGGGTGTACTACAGGAGTTGGCGGCACCAGCGGTTCCAACCACCTTTCCAATGTTAGTGGATTAGGTTCAGGGAGTGGTCGACATGGGGATTCTAACAGTCTTAATTCAAGTCGTTGTGGTGCAGGTGATGCTAATGAATTGGCTGTTACAGAGCATTTAATTCAAAGCATAAGATCTGCAGCTGGAAATGATTTTTGTGCAGATTGTGGTGCACCAGGTAAGGTTGATGTTTTTTATATGTACAACTTGTAGGTCCCGTATTTGTACTTCAGTCAATCAATGTTTTGTATTGTATATATGCGGGTGTGTGTAGATATCAATAACTATGAGGATTTGAAGAGATGGAGGATATTAAATGCTTATAAGAAAAAAGGGAACAATAAATAACAGAAATTAGTGTATTATAGTAAAATAATAACAATGGGAGAAACAGTTCAGTTAGCAAAGGTACAGCTACAAATAATTCTCTCGGTTAAAGAAGTTACGTCCATTTGTTATGAAGAAAGTAAAATGAAATTACAACAGGTTCGCTACCGGCTTCTATTCTGAGCCATATCTGATAACGTCTCCAGCCACTGTGTTGTACCATCTCTAGGACCATCCCAACCAGGGAGTTGTCAGTGACTAACAAATCCCAGTCCTGTGCAGTTTTCTTTCATACCACGGCACAATGTCATAAAATGAACACCTTTACACTCTTCCCAACCAGTCCCAAAGTTCGCAAATAACTAACGATATGAAATTCACCGGGACGACATTCGTAGTATATATCCAAGCCACCGAAAGCGGTGTTTCAAGATAGTGACACCAGCTAACTTATCGTCGCTGTGCCGAAACATGCGTTGACGAACCTCTGCATTACTAAAATGGTGTTGCAGCTGAATGTCAGCAATCCTTCGTGGTCAATGGTGATCAAACACATAGAGTCACTTAACATCCTGAAATCGGAAAGGCAAGGTTTTATAAGCGCAGAGCGAAACTGCTCTCACTAACGCGTTGTAAATCTGAGTTTTAAAGCCAGACTAACATCATGAAGGCACCAAAGATGGCTCAGATCGGCATAAGTCGCTCTGACTTTCACTATACATGAATTGATCTCATTACTCACGTCACCATACGCACTTATGCAGCTACCTAGATACACATACTTCTCGATTACTTCAATCTCTTACTACCCAGGGTGAGTGCATGATCAGAGTCCTGCCAGTCTTATAAAAGTACTTTTCACTTCGAAGGTACAAAGTACATACCATACCTACGAACACTGATTGTCAACTAATTATGTTCAGATTGCATGATTTGGGTATTATTGCACAGTATGACAATATCATCCACATGCTCAAGGTCGAGAAGTCTTTCTGCAGGCAACAGATCCACACCGCCATTACTTACATCCATAAGAGCTGTCTCCATCAACATCATCAACAGCAAAATTTGAGAAGGAATCGTGACGTTGAGCAACCCTGCCTAACCCCACTGCTTGAATGGGACAATAGAGAAAGGTGGTTGTATGCCCTCACTCTGCCTGAGGTGTTTGTATATAGGACCTTTAAGATATTAATAAACTACTCTGGCACACCCTCCTTCAACTTCAACCATTTCTATCCCGAGCTCTTCTTCTTTCTAGTTCTTGTCAGGTTCTCTCCATTCCTTTGATACATTCTTCCAAGTCTAATGGTTAAACTTAAAGACATCTTCCTTATTTTACTACATTCACTATTCAGTTTATCTCACTATCTGTCATTGAAAATCTCTCTATATATCTAAAATCTTGTATCTATTTTTATTCATTCTAGATTGACATACAATCATCTATTAATCTTTTTAATGGTCAATTTTAAGTTTATTTTTATTACTATTATTGGGTGTGATCTACTTCTATACATTATCTAATATACATTATCATATAAAACTGGTCATTAAGTATTCATTCATTATAAAACATAACCAGATCATTACTAGTATCATTCTTATTGTTATTATTGATTAAAACAAAACAACTTCATTTTACTTTTTAACAAAAACCCTTTTCTCTCTTTGTGTGCTTTTGTATGTGTATATGCTTATTATTAAACTTTACATGTAGAGATACGTTGAATGAACAATGAAAAAAATCAGGGACAATACTTATGTATTCTTAGTTCATTTCGTTTTATGCAAATGGTGTGTGTTCGTGTTTGTTTACTCCAATCTTTTAGTGATTGTGTTTTCTTTTCATATGTACAACCGATACAATCTCAGTACATGGTAAACAAAGATGGGTAGTGACTAGCAGTAGAATTCATGATGCACGTTTCATCCTATTTGGGACTCGTTAGCTGGATGTACTTGCATCTCACAGTTGATGGTCACTCTGGGACTCGAACCCAATACCTTTCGCTTCAAACGCCATCGCGTTATCCACTCAGTCACTGAGTCCTGATGGCCACTTGCTTGTGTGCATCCTGCATTCTACTGCTAGCCACTATCCATCTTTGCTTATAATGCTTGTGAATTAAGGCTATATCGAGGCAATACGCACAGTATGCACATATGCCAATTAGAGACTGACCAGTTGCAGTCTTAACACATCGATGGGAAGATTCAACCAAACAACACTAAGTGAATTTAAATCTCAGTACACTCTCCATTCACTTATTTTATATATATTGCATCAGTAAAGAGGGGTTGTGAAGGTTGTTGAGTTTCATTAAAATCATGAACCGATCAAATTAGACTGCCATTGAAAGCCTACAAGCATTGCACTGAATGCTTGTTTCGTCCTGTTATGAGACTCAGGCGTGAGCATCCACGATCTCGCGCGGGACTCAAACCCATGGCTTCGGTCCCGCGCACTAACGCTTAACTTTTAGGCCACTGACTGCGGACCTAACGGTTCTAATGTCTTAATTCAATTAATTCATGGCACTGAGCGACCGTCCTGGGTTTGATTGTCGCCTGCAGAGTCGTACATGTTCACTGTTGAGGAGTCCTACACTAGAACTTAGCGACCGTTCAGTGCTTCTAGGTTTTCAATGATGGTCTAACTTAGATCGTCTCATGATATATAGTTTTCATTTTTATATCATTTTCGGATATTTTTAACTTCTCTTCTTATCCATTCAGCGTTCGTAACTAGTTCTTGACTGTTAATCTGAAGCATATTGATAAGTTCATACTACCTAGTTTGGGTTTGCGCAATAACTCCGACTTGTGATTAGGGATGTTAAGTAATGTGACTTGGAATCGATTACAATGGGTCAGATATTATAATCCTGTATCTCCTCTTAGATTCTTAGTTCTAGGATTCCTTCATACATGCCTTCTCATTTATTTTCTCTGGAAACACGTTCTCAGTGTTTAGTCCACACTATTGTTGGTACTACGATTATTGTTACTATTTTTATATTTATTGTGATAATTTCAACCCCTTATGTTTACATCGTGTAGTAACATGATGAGCAACAAACATTTCTGTCATGCTCTTTTTGTTGTTTATGACTAGCTCGTAGCACTTTGAAAACCATGAGAAACTATGAAGGGTATATTGAATAGACTTTGCATTGGGGTTTTTGACTTCTCAATTTGTGCACACAATCAATCCATTCAGTTTTCGTAACATATGTCATACTTCTATATTAAAGTCAATTTATGTATATTTTCAACTTCACTTCATGATATTACTTTCTATTAATTGATTTACTCCTAATGAACTGCAAGTCAAAGTTTAACTCTTATTATTTAAAAAGAAGTTCAGCCGATAGCATATGGTTATTTTAATCAAAGATGGATAGTGACTAACAGTGGAATCCAGTTTGAAGCGCGTTTCGTCCTATTTGGGACTCTTCAGCTGGGTGTACCTGTATCTCAAAGTTGATGTTCACTCTGGGACTCGAACCTAGTACCTTTCACTTCGAACGCCATCATGTTATCCACTCAACTACTGAGTCCTGATAGCCACTTGCTTGAGCAATGGGGTGAAGTTTAAATTCACTTGGTATTTTTTGTTTAAATCTTCCCAGTTGCAGTCCTAACACATCGATATAGATGATTCAAACAAACAATACTAAATGAATATAGTTATTTTGTTGAAAATTATATAAAACCCTTTATTATTCAAAAAATATTTGGATTATTCTATTTTAGAACCAGATTGGGCAAGTCTTAATTTAGGCGCTATGGTTTGTATTAGTTGCAGTGGTATTCATCGACAACTTGGAACACATATTTCACGCATACGTTCTTTACACTTAGATGAATGGTCTACTGAATCTGTCAGTGTAATGAGCGCTATTGGTAATACATTAGCTAATTCTGTTTGGGAAGCTGCTGCGCCTGTAAATGCTGGCAATCTACGGTAAATTTAATAATGACCATATATTATATAAGTTTTATATATTTTGTTGAAATATTGCAGTATTTATCCTTAAAAGTAATAATACGTCAGTGATATTAAGATTTAATGCATGTCTTCAACATCAGAAGATATTTGAATGTTACTTGGGTCTCATCTTGTTGAATTAATATAAGTTTCTAAGAATCTTCAGATGTTTATAATGTGTTACCATGGTATGGTCTTCCAGTCATTCAATGGTTGTGTAATTCTTATGAAATTTTTCAATAATGGGCATTATTATACTCACTATTTGCTGAAGAATTAGTAGGCGATCATCTTCAAGCTGTTCATGGAACATTATCAACTGTACACTTCACACTTTTTTCGTAGTATGGTATATACTCACATCGTTCTCTGAATTTGCATCTGGTTTTGATTTTTGCGTTGGTATAATACCTATCCGCAAGACCTAATAATAATAGCAATGAACTGACGCACATCTCCATAGGATTCATTGGTTATTTGGAGAAATTTTTGTATGTCTTTAAAACTATAGGTTATTATCAAAGTCAACTGCTCATTCTAGGAGTACCAGTCTTGTGCAACAACCAGTTGTTACTTATCGGACAAAAATTATTTGGATTTAGTTTTTAAAGTCTATGACAATATGTCGTTTTTGTTTTCTTCAACTGTCGCCATCTGTTATAATGACAAGACTTTCACTTGACTATCAAGTTGTATATTTTGTATACCTATTAAATTTATACCGGCTCAGTGGTCTATCGGTTGAGGTTTCTGGCTCGAGACTGATAGGTCCTTGGTTCTAATCTCACGAATGCGGGATCGTGGATGTGCACTGCTGAGGAGTCCCACAATAGGACGAAACGGACATCCAGTTTTTCCAGGTTTTTGCATGGTGGTCTAGCTTCAATTGACTCATAATTTCAACTTTGAAAATACTAATTCTCCACAAAACCCTTTCGGATAATTATACAACTACCGCCTACCTCAATTTGGATTGCGTGACTATTAGATTGAATATGTTGTATGGCGGCAAGTATTACAAATCAGATTTATACAAAATGTTAATATGACTAAAGTTACGGATATCATTTTAGTAAGCGACATTTTCTATTTCTTTAACCAACTTGTGAATCGTTCTAAGTGGTTATACTTAGTTGATTGCTTACATTAGGTTACTGGGCAACTAATCAAATGAGCATCTGCTTTTCAGTCGTATATTGAAGAATTAAACTAATCTTGTATTGTTTTCTTTGTCAAATACAATATATAGGCTTTTCACAACTACTTCATTTTCCCTATTTTTTATAATAAACTTACTTTTATTGTTATTAATCTGATGATTATTAGAAAACCAGATCCTTCAAGTTCACGAGAGGAAAAAGAAGTTTGGATTCGAGCTAAATATCAACATCGAGAATTTCTGCCTCCATTACCCTATCCTGATGCTCCACTTCAACGACAGTTGATTGATGCAATAGCTCGTCAAGATACACGTCAAGTTATACTTTGTCTAGCTTTGGCTACACCTGAAACAGTCAATGCGGCTTATTCACTTCAAGATCCACGAGCAGCTATTCACATTGCTGCTACTCTCGGAAATCTAGTTTATTTACAGTTGCTTTTATGGGTAAGCTGTTTGTTCGCAATATGCTGATTAGCTGGGAGTTTTTTTCAGTATTAATTGTCGAGACCTTCCAATAGGTCAATATAATTTATAACAGTGTATTGTCGGGAGAATTAAGGTAATAATTTGAAAGAAGATATGTTGAGGATAGTTTTCTTCATTTAAGATTGACTTTCCGTCATAGTTAACTACAATTAGATCCAAGTAACATAGAACATCTAGAGTTTTAAGCAGTGTAAAGATATCATGAACGAACTTTCAAGGTTACAGTTCATTATTTCATCTAACTGATACGCTATTTTACCTAATTCCAAGATTGTTTACATGATTATCCGAATTTTCGCTGTTACCTGTCGGATAAATGTTGGCTGTTAGTCGTAAAAGTGCATATTTCTCAGTTGCATCATTTCAATTATGATATCTCCGTCCACTTTTTTTCCATGCATATAGAAATTTCGTTAATTTCCCATCTAAATTTTTAAATGTAGATCACGGTTCACAATAAGTGGTTCTAACATCATCGTATTCCTTTTATATTCCTCTGTAGTTATATTCATCGTTGATAATGATAACTTCGCCAACATCAAACTAAAAACTGACCACAATAGATTTTTGCTGCATTGATTTGTGTGAACGGAAAACATTCATTCTAGTATCACTTATTAATCTTAATGACTGATTATTGTGCTTCTTCCATACTGTTTCATCATCGGTCTGCATAATACTACAGACATTGTGTGGTGGATTATCGATTTCATTTACCAGCAAATACATAACCAAGAGTATTTGAAATGCTCACTTGGGAATGTGTTGTATTTATTATTTTATTTATTTTATTTAAACACATAGATATTGGTACAAAGGGGCACCGAATACATATCTACCGCGCAAATCTCATTTGATTTGTGTGAGGGCTATGATACTGCCCAGATGCCCAAACTGAAGCAGGTGGTTTTCTTAGGGAGCCACATCCGGAGACTTCGACCTAAAGATCTGATCCATAAGGCAGTGGAGTATCGTGAGGTGATGCAGTCCCATGGTAACCGGTGATCAATGATTGATTCATACGCCATTTGTTCCCTCAGGATACTGGAGCCCATGTGCACCATTAGTTTGGAATCAGGGTTTTCCAACTACTCTAGGTGGATTTTCCGTGTTCACCAACCCCGTTAAAACGCCGGACATTCGCTTTTGGTCCTCTCAATTTCGTAAACAACAGTAATGTCATGAGGAGGCAGTGAGTAGGACTTCTCTGGTAGAGGCTATATACGCGTGGCCATGTGAGAGCATTTGGAGAGGGAGAGCGGACTCTCCCCACTCTCGACCGTACCAGGGCATTTATAAATTTATTTAACCTTTTACTAAATTTATGTTTATTTCTTTACATAAGTAGTTCGTTAGTATTTCTTTGCTTATGAATTTATAAAAATTCAGATTTTATTTTATTTTATCCCCATATATTAAAGTACAATGGTGATCCAGCTGTGACAGATCATGAAGGAAGAAATGCATTCTATTACGCTCATTGTTCTAAAAATTATGATTGCGCTGACTTTCTGTTACGAAATAGTTGTCCAAAACAATTGGTACCACCTATCCCTCCTAATATTATGCCCCCAACAATTCGTTCTTCACAAAATGTTATGCCGCAACAAATTGTTCAGTCACATTCCATAATTCATGGATCTTCAATATCAACTGGGCTTTCATCTGGTGTTGCAGACATAAATATTAATAATAGTATAAACTCAGGTCTTGTTCAACCTCATCACTTTTCACATCTCCAGCAACATCAGTCCTCTGCTTCTGTTGTCTCTTCTGAAGTAGGAACTCACTTAAGCGGACAATTACCTTCTTATCATCCCATGACCACTGGTTCTGTAACATCAAATCAGCAACTATCTCAAGGTATTTAATTCAGTCTAAATTTTAGAGTTTTGTCAAAATCTACACTTCTTTATTCTATGCTTCATAATTAGATCTTCCTGATATTCAATTCCAACGTGAGGAAGTACAAATCATTTTATCAATATGTGGAAATGGAAAACGCAACTTGAAAAATTCAGTTTGAAGGAACGTATGAAATATGAAGAATACTATATTTCTTTATCTATATGATGAAGATCGAATACACATGTACCGCTGTGACTAATTTTGGGTTATGTCACCTAGCATCAACCATGACCTATGGTTATCCGATTTGTTCCACTGAGATGTTTATGTCCACCTACACTATGTAGTAATCAATATTTTCACTGACTATAATTATATGCCGTTCTGATTGAAATAAATCTTTTTCTAAGTTATTCGTAATTCAAGTAGAATCATATATCGGGATTATCAGTAACTAATTTATTTATTATGCGTGTTAAGCTACTTCAATCAACAAAAGGTAGTGGATTTATCCATCGATTCATCGTCTTCACCTAGTACTCTTTACCTATATTCGTCTTCACTTACTTAATGGTTACACTTCACGCAAGCAATGTGTCTAATTTTGATGTAGGTTTGTTCTCTGAGCTTAGATAGTTTGGTCGTGGAGCTTTCATCGTCCTTCTGAATACGACATTATCAGCACAAACTTCGAGTAGAAGTGAAGTGTTTGAATTTCTCCACATGTAATTCACAGTTTGTCTTGTACACCCTGAAGTTTATTCTGATGATGTCGTTCAAAAGGACGATAAAAGCTTCACGATCAAACCATCCAGCTTAGAGAACAGACTTATTTTAAAATCACCCACCTGAGGTACAAATCTTCTTTACCATCTCAATGTGTCTAATTGGATTAGGATTTTAATAAATAGCAATAATAATCATCTTGTTTAGAAGCTAAACTTATAATTCCCTTGAATTATATATATATATGGAGAGAGAGTTTTTGTTATTTTCATATAGGCGTAAAACTATTTTTACAGTTCACACCTTACTGGTTATTAGCCCTAAATATATATATACCCTTTGGTATTTCATTAGTGTATAAAGCTTGTTTTATTGTAGAACGGAAAAACAAAATATCCTTTATAGTAGTAGTAGTAGTAAACTTATCTTTGTTGCTATGTCTTACACCACCACCACTTCCTCACTCACTAGGTTATAATATTTTATTAATTTTTGACTGAAAGATTGAAATCTGTCAGTTTTTTGTTAATTATGCACAGAAGCACATCACATTAATTTGTATTTAATTATTGGATCGAAATAAATTAATTTATTTCGATCCAGAACTACTTATATAATTTTATTAGATAGTGATACTATCCAGGCGCCAAATGGGGTTTAGATTTACGGTAGATAAGGTAGGTGGTAACTAGAAGTGTGTGTATCGCTTAATCAGCATATCATAAAACGTTAGTCTGAAATATGTTCGTTTACCGGTCTGGAAGCCTCATGTATTCTTAACATAAGGGCAAACATTACTCTCTCTCTCTCCCTTTTCATGTCTAGACTTATGCAAATTGAATAGATTACTATGAACAAGTCTATTATTGCTAGCTAAATATTTGGACTAATAGGCAACATCAAATAGACATAGGTTACTATTTTCATGTTTTTTCTAATTGTTAAATTGATTTTTTTTCTTATGTTTAAGTTGTAGGATCAAATCATCCACTTGTGTCGGCTTCTGGAAATATGTATACAGGAAATGTAAATCAAGCTTTAGGAGCTACCCTTCCTCGTCGGCGTGCTCCTATAGGTCCATTTCCTCCCGGTGCAGCACCTCCAACTCTCCAACCATTTCCACGACCAAATATACAACAACAAGTATCAGTCAGTAATACACATCGACCTACCTCTTCAGTTATTCAATCAGTTACTCGCCCTATAACACCAAATGCCATGCTACGAACATCCTTAGTTAGTTCATCACAACCACCTCATACACGTTCAAGTTCAAATACTACTGCTACACTATCTCAACCATATGTTTCAACTAGTCAAGAAGTTGGCCTGTGACCTTTATAATACCATCAATTTCAGTTCGTTATTGCGCATCTCTTCCAATTGATTTCTTTATCTGCCCCCCCCAAATGCCCCCCATGTAACAAATTGCATTTATTTCAATGAATAACCGCTATTTAAACACAGTTATATATTGTAAACTTTTAAAGTTTGTTTTCACTTTTGCCCATCCCTCTTGGAAAAAGGAACGTTTTGTGCAATATTAACAATTAACCCATATATATATATGTATATGTTCATTTATAACATTGTCTTCCAGTGTATTCAAATAATTGTTATAGTAATAATAATGAATATTCATAACATCCTTTTAATTGCTTCCCCCCTCAGGATATATATTCATGTCTGTAACTGTTTTTTTTTGTATGAACACTTTTACACAACACCTACTACTCATATATAAATTAGCTTCCTATTGCTTCTTACTCTTATATTTTGCTTTAAAAAGTAAATGTATCTGTGCCAGTAATGTAATTTAAAGTTGAAATTGACTCTTTAATCATTTCAGTTTAATTGTTCATATTGTGTTTTACGCAACTTACTTACGTACGCCTGTTACTCCCAATGGAACATAGACCGCAAACCAGCATTCTCCAACCCACTTTATCTTGAGCCTTCTTTTCTAGTTCTATCCATTATTTTTTGTTCATTCTTCTCATTTCTGTCTTTGTTTCTCGGCATCATGTGTTTTTTGGTCTTCAGGATTCCATGTGGCTACAGGCTGAGTTGTGTTGTATGCACACATATACTTATATATTGTAGAATTCTCCCCTTTCTCTCTTCCCCCCTTTAAATATATGTACATTGGAATGCCAAAAAAAAAAAAGAAAAAAAAACCCTAGGCAATTCATTGTTTTTTTTGGATATATTTATTATAATTATTTTAGTCTCTTATTTTTTTTCTTGTCGTTTACAATACAATACATATTTCATACCTCCCGGGTAATAAATATCCCAGTAATAAACATTCTACACTATAACAGTAACAAATAAGTACTACTGAATAGTACTACTTAATTGATTCAATGTATATTTGTTCTTTTTTTTTCGTTTATAATTTTGTGTGGATTGTTTTCTTTCTCTTTTTTATATAGTTTAATTGTACAGATATATTATTTCTCTTCTATCATATTGTATTCCAATCATTTGGATATGAAATATACGTATCAGTGTATGTATGTATGTATGTATGTGTGTGTGTGTGTGTGTAAGTGGAGATGTTTCTTTTGTGCCCCTGTCTGAATATTTGATTTAACCTTTCTATTGTAAGTAACCTATTCTTCTTTTCCATTATCATCATTGACTGTTTTTTGTTTAGTTATGAATATAAGATTACTTGTTTTCTATGAGAATGTGCAAACAGGTTATTATTCATTACAGAAATATATATCTCTGTTTTTACTTAACTGATTTAAAACAAAACATTTATTATATTTGTTTGGTTCTTATTATTCTTGTTTTTTAATATTCTGTGTATGTTAAATAATTGTATTTGTTTGTTTGTTTGTTTTTCGTTAAATAATAATGGATGTACCCTTTTTGAGTAGGTTGATAGAAAGCTAGGGGCGGCCAGGCGAAAACGTAGCACAAATCCATGAAGTCACTGACAAGTGAACTGAGTTATGTTAGTAGGTGTAGATTACCTGGTTGGGATCCGCGAGATGATAGCAATCGATAGTTAGAGACCTTGAATGATATGGCTCAAAATCGTTTGCAATGGCAAAGGTGCATCCACTCTTTGTGTTCTCCCAAATTCTAATCTTCTGAATTCTTCATGTCCCTATCTTTTTTCTCGTTTCAAATTTATTTCATTAGATTATACTCCTTCAATAACATCTTCTAACCCTAATCTTCCATATTACTGCTTATACTCTTACTATCTCTACCACTATAGGATTTGAATCGACAACTTCATCTCTGTGCTAATGTAGTGTGGCAACTCGAACTGATGTACGTACGTACGAAGTTCTATGTTGTGACTGACTGAGTATTTGCAATCTTTAGGGTAAATAAAAAATAGGGTACATGGCCTACTAGTTATAGAGCATTTCACCTTCAATTCTCTATTTCACTATCCGCTAAATAGTCATATACTTGGTTACCTAGTTAAATTCATTTATTTAGAGATGTGAATTACATGTTCATCGATTGTACATCGTCAACTTCAGCATAGGAGTAGTGATATTGAAGGATGGTTCAAAATACTTTTTTTCTGTCATGTTTACTGTGATAATGAGACTAGTCACGTCATATCAGATCCAAGATTTGCCACCCAGAATAGAGAATCAGATTAACATTAGATAATACTTTATTCAACACAGTTATGTGCCTTCGTACTCGGTGAGACCGTCGTAGAAGTCAATCATGTATTTACGTCATCAGGTTGTGTCTGTTTGTCCATGATCAGTGTCTAATCATATTTTACTTTTACTACTACATATCAAATAGATTGTTTCCTTTCGTCTATTCAGATTACAATGTCATCTCGATAAAAATATTTATGTCTATTCTGGTCACTGGGTTCATTATGGATTAAATAGTATTGCCTATTACTGAATGTGAAAACCTATTTAAATTGTTGGAATCACAAATGATAAATTTTTCGTTGGTTAAATCATTTATACTAGTGAGAACAATAATATTGTCAAATTTCCTTTCAGAATGGTTATCTATCCACCAACTTTATTAAGTAATAATAACCTACGAAACGTATTTAAGTCTATTTGTGATGTATTGTGCTGTCGCGATGGATTAGCTTTTGTCAATATAGGGATCGAGTAGGTTGTCAGTTTTAGGTTGGTCATTAGACGAATCAACATTTGATGAGTTACAGCCTATTCTGAATAAAATATTGGTGGCTTATCAAATTTTATTATCATGTAGAATCCAGTTCTGTAGTAGATGGTAACTAATGTATTTATCATTCCGAAGGTAAACTCATCCTCGGTTATTTTAATGTCTAACTTCAATCGAACGATGATCTTGCGCAACCCTTCAGCCATTGTGAGGTGGATACCTGTCTCTACCCGACACGCATGCCTGCTTAGGGGTCTATAAGTTAAACGTTCGTGAGAACGAAGGTCCTGTGTGCGTGATCATGGATGTGCACTGTTAAGGAGTCCCATACTAAGACGAAACGGCTGTCCAGTGCTTCCAAGTTTTAAGTGGTGGTGCCACATAAACTATGAGGATTTCTTCTTTTGAAAACTACTATGAATTAGTGCTTATGCTGAACTGTCACCGAAGTTAGTTGCATCAAGGAGCGTCCGCGTTTCGGCTATCCACTATCACTAAACATCCAAAATTTCTCACTGATATAAAGCCATAGTTAATATTATATATATATATATATATATATATATATATATATATATATATATATATATATTATATTTAAAAAGTTATTTATAATAACAAGGTTACCTATTTTGGTAAATAAATATGTACATACATGTATATTCTAATAATAATTGCAGAATTCATGCACATTTCATGTGAAAATAAACGCAGCTTTTCTCGCTATTATATCTGACGTCATATTTACATGTGTTGTATAGTTAGTTAATTCATTGTTATATTTCTAAACAATCTAGAAATGCTCTCACATGGCCACGCGTATATAGCCTCTACGAGGGAAGTCCTACTCACTGCCTTCTCGTGCTACAGGTGTTGTTTACGAAATGGAGAGGGTGAAAAGCGAATGTCCGGCGCTTTAACCGGGTTGGTGTACACGGAGGTTCCACCTAGAGGAGTTGGAAAACTCTGATTCCAAAACAATGATGCACATGGACTCCAGTATCCTGAAGGAACAAATGGCGTATGAATCAATCGTTCGTCACTGGCTACCATGGGACTGCATCTCCTCACGATGCTCCACTGCCTTATGGATCAGATCTTTCGGTCAAAGGCTCCTGGTGTGGTCTGCTAAGAAAACCACCTGCTTCAGTTTGGGCACCTGAGCAGTATCACATCTTTCACACAAATCAAATGAGATTTGTGAGGGGCATATTTATCTGGTGTTACTTTGTACCAATATTTATGTGTTTAAATAAATCAATAAATTTTAAACGATTGCATATTAACTGACGTATAAGTGCTTTAATCTTAATACACATGTACTCAATTAATGAAAGTACAATATAACAAATATCATTTTCTAAAGTCATATCATATATAGCTTACATCCAACAGTCATATACAATGAAAAAAGCAAGATTCTCAAATACACAGAGAACAACAGCCCAGTCACAGTTGATGGTGAAACTCTGAAAGATGTAGAAACGTACCTGGTCAGCAGCATCATTGATGAACAAGGTGAATCTGATGGAAAAGCAAAGTCGAGGATTAGAAAATTAAAGGCCACATTCATACAACTGAAGAACATATGGTACTCAAAACAACTGTCAACTATCTTCAAAGTGAGAATCTTCAATACGAACGTCAAGACTGTCAGTCCTACTGTACGAAGCTGAAACGTGGAGAACTGCTACAATCATCGTCAAAAAGGTACAAGTATTTATAAACAGTTGTCTACGCAAAATACTCAACATTCACTGGCTGGGTACCGTCAGCAACAGCCTATTATAGGAGAGGACAAACCAACTTCCAAGTGAAGAGAAAATTAGGAAAAGAGGTTGAAAGTGGATAGGACATACATTGAGAAAATCACCAAACTGCATCACTAAGCTAGCCCTAACTTGGAATCCTGAAGGAAATCGATAAAGAGGAAGGCCAAAGATCACATTACGCCGGGAAATAGAAGCAGATATGAAAAGAATGAATGTTATCTGAAAAAAAAACTGGAAAGGATTGTCGGGGGCAGGGTTGGATGGAGAATGCTGGGGTACATGTGTAAACTGGAAAGTTAGCGTTCTTAGTTGTTTTATGTGAGTTTTTAAGAACATGAACTAGTTGACTATTTCTTACATGTTACATTTGGCGGGTATTGTTAAAACTGATAATGGACAAAAAAATTACAACATTGAATGTGGCAT